TAACTTTGTAAATTCTCTCAAGTTTCAACAAGTGCTAAACAACGATCTCTGTTTAACTAACTTGTAAATTGCTACAAATTTCAACGAGTGATAAACATCATCTCGGTTTAACCAACTTGTAAATTGTCCACAAATATCAACAAGTGTTAAACAATGATTTCGGTTTAACTTCAACTTGTAAATTGTCCACAAATTTCAACAAGTGGTAAACATATTCTTCTTCTCTCTGCCCCCTGCATGGCTTCCACATACTCATTTGCGAACCTTATAAAAGGTCTTCAACCTGGCTAACTGCAGTCCAACCTTGTGTGTTTTCTTTATTTATCTTCTGGGATCTGAGATTTGCTCACTGAGCTCTTCTCTTCTCGGACTTAAGTGCCGAGATCTTGTCTGCTAGAATCTTGGATCTGCTCACTCAAGTTGAGCTCTTCTCTTCTCGGACCTACTCACCTAGGCCGAGATCATGTCTTCTAGGATTCGGGATCCAGGGTCTGGAATCCGGGATCTGCTCACTTAGGATGAGTTCTTCTATACTTGAATGTTATCTCCTTGGGAGCGCTCATCCCCCCTGTCTTTGTATTCCTTCTAGAAGGGTCTTCATTCCTCCGCAGGTATCTATCCTTCCATACCTGGAGGTCATCTTCGTTGTAGTATCCGCTTCGATCTGTTATCTTTGGTACGTCACCTTTCTGGCCGGCGTCTTTCACTCCGTGACTCTGGTCACGAATTTCTGTGTTGCGGTCATCCTCTTCAACGTCAGGGTTGATAGGTCTCCCACTCCTAGCAGGAGCGTTGCCTCCAATCTGATCCTTCTGTCCGTCATTGGCCATCTATTCTTCTTTCTTTCATTGGCCATCTATTCTTCTTTCTTTCATTGGCTATCTATTCTTCTTTCTTTCCCACAGGCGGCGCCAAATTGTGTGAGTGATTTTCTGACCACACTGCCCGTTTAGTAACCAGCTGGAGAGCACCGGCAGAATAGATGGCACCTGGCTGACCTGCAATAGAAAGAGAAGATTCCGGCGGTGGTTCGTCCACCCGGGGGCACTCCGACGATCAAGTCAGTATATCTCTCAAAGATAAATCAAGTGCTAAACTCACAAGCTTGAGAATCAAAAACATACCTTAGACCCATGGGGGTGCCTCTCTTTTATAGCCAACATAAACCTTGGACTCCGGATTACTGCTAATCTTGGACTCCCAGTAAGATTAGGATAAACTCTCTAAGAGTCTTATCTTAATACAAACTGAAGTCTTCTCTCATTCTAGGACTCTTGCCCCTCACCTACTTATCTCGGATTCCGATATCTTCAAAGGTAACCTCGGCCTATCCGAGATGACCTCGGCATAACAATCAGGACACGTGGCACCTCGGCTGACATGTCGACGTCACCTTAGCCACGTGTTGGTACTCAGAAAATATATCCCCACAATGTTAAAGTTAGAAAACAAGGTAAATTACAATTACCTCTCTTAAGATTGTAAAAATACATTAATTTTCACAAGTTTAATATAATTATATTAAACTTTTTTGAGATTTAATTTCATATAACATTAGTTTATTCTTCTTCTTTTTTTATCAACAATTCATTAGTCATATGAATAAAAAATAATATTTCATTTAAAATGTACGTTTACATTGTTTATTTTTGTGTCTTTACACAGTTTATATTTGTTCTTATCCCTTCAATATTGATAAAAGATAAAGGGAGCCGTTATTTTCACTCAACTTTAATTCAAATACACTCTATTTTTTGTCCTTATTATACATAGTTGCATTAATGTATCAGGATCCTCTAGAGTGGAACCCTGAAATGATCTCCTAAAGTGAAAGATCCAATGACTAAAAATAAACCTCACCAAAACAACGTCGTTTTGGTGAGTAATTTGAACAACAAAAAATAAATAAATAAATTTAGCTTTAATTCAAAACATCGATGTTCTGCAGATATGAAGCATTACAGAGAGAGAGAGAGAGAGAGAAAAAAAAAGAAAAGGGCTTAGAGGAGGAGCTCTTCCCACCCACCCCCGACGTGCCGCTGCCATTGTCGCGCCACTGCCCGTTATACTCCAACAAATTGAAGGAAAAAAACCACAGGTTCATTCATCCTCCAAACTTAAAATATTAGGGCTTTGATTCCAAAAATTAGGGAAAAAAACCAGATTGAAGGATTTTCTTTGAAGGCATTTGTTGTTTAGGTGGTTGGTTGTTTAGATACGTAAAAATGAGCTATAATATGAGCTTGGCTACCTTTGTAGAGTAAAAATCTAAACTTCAAAGGTGGTATTTCAAGTCCCAAAAAATATATTCTTAGGGTTTTGATTTGGGACTTTTTACATAGATGCTTCAAAATTGGTTTTGCCATCTTGCTTTGATTTCTCTGTGGTCGTATGAAATCAGTCATGCGGTGTGTAATGTCCATATAGGGCACTGTTAAATAGGCAAAAGAAACTAGAAAAATGTGTTCAGCTGAATATATATTTTGACTTGCCCATTGGCTATAGAAAGATGCAACAAATGCTCTAGAGCCAATTTTTGCCATTTCACTTTGACTTCTTTGTGGTCATAGAATCAATCATGTGAGTTTCATTCAATGTTGTTTCCCCACTTGCTTGGTGTCAATATAGGACACTGTCGAATAGGAAAGAAGAAGATAGAAAAGGTATTTGGGTGAGTTTTATAGGACATTGTTGAATAGGAAAATAGAAGCTAGAAAAGGCCTTTGCTTTGGTGAATTGATTGCAACTTGGGTTGCTTATTGAGCACAAGATATCGGCATTTGTTTTGGTGGCTTAATTGATTACAACATGGGTTGCTTCTTTCTTCTACCTTTTTATATTTGAAATTTTCCTACAGCAGAACTGGGCTTGGGAGTTGATGTGTTCTCTAGATGGGTATAATATGTTTGCTATATAGTTTTGGTACTCTCTTGGTGATTTTGCAGAACATTGTTGGAAAAATGTTTCTCCTGAGTTGCTACTTTATCAGTTGGTAAGGGAAAATTATTTACATGATTTATTTAAAATTTATTCTTAGAGAGCCGATTTGAGTCATGCTTATTGTTGTCTTTATAGTTGTTAAGTCTGTTTGTTTTATTCACCCAAAAAAATCTACTTGTTTTATAAATTTTCAATTCAATGCCCGTAATTATTTTGTTCGAAACAGAAAATTTATTATATGTTTTATTATACTAGTTGTATATTAGAATTGTGTTTTGTACAATATTCTTGTTTGATATTTTCTGAAACTGTTGGATTTCAAATATATATATATATATATATTTTTTTTTACATACTCCAATTGTAAAATTTATAAATTTCAGTGCACTTGTAGTTAAATAGATATTTGTGTGTGTGATAAGTCTTTTTGTTACAGACAAAAACAAATTATAATTTTGTTTATAGAGTCATGTGTAGATATTGTTGTTCCATTGTTGTTCTATTGTTGTTCCATTGTTGTTATTTCAAGTAAAAAAATGTCAACATCAAATGCATCTATGAGTGATACTAGTGAAATTTAGTTTAGAAGTCGAAAATGTCATTGTGAGGCGAGAGCAGCATTCAGGATTTCAGTGTCAAAGGAAAATCCAGGAATGGTATACTTCGCTTGCCCTTTCAACAACACCAATGGATGCGGCTTCTTTGAGTGGTGGATGCCTTTACATAAGCAGCGTCAATGGTTGAAGATGGTAAGGGAGGAAAGCGACGAAAATTGTAATATCAACCCTTTGATCAACGAACTGATTGTATCCAATGATGAGCTGAAAGAGATGGTCACAAAGTTTAGGAAAGAAAGTAAACAAATGGTTGTAGAGATTAAACAACTGATGGAAAAGTTGCACTATGCCATTGTAATAGTATTAACTGGATTTAGACTTATTCTTTTATTATTTAAATATTAAGTGTAAATTAAGTTCGGATTTAGACTTCTTCTTTTGTGAACTAAATATTAAGTGTAAATTAAGTTGGTTGTTGACTTGAAATGCACAATGTTGTAATGTTGATTGTGGAAACCAGTATTTTGATGTCTGGGTTAGATTGTATTAGTAGACCTTTTGAAGTGCTCAGTTGATATATACAAAAAGGTGCTTTGAAATAATGGTTGCTTTGTTTGTTCGTTTGGGTTCTTCGATGCATCTTAGGCTTATATATATCTCCAGTGAAGGGAGGCTTTTGTAGAACACTTGAAATTTGGTTTTGGACCATTTCAGCAACATGTTTGAGAAACATTTCACCAAAAAATCCAGCATAATTCAATTAAAATTTCAGAAAAAAAGCTGCAAAATTCCATCAACATTCAACACAAATTTCAGCAACAAAATCTGCTTTATTTCAGCAACATTTGAACCAAAATTCAGTACCATTTTAGCAACATGTTTGAGCAACATTTTACAAAAAAATCCAGCAACAATTCACCAAAATTTTAGAAAAAATTATGCAAAATTTCATTAACATTCAGTACAAATTTCAACAACAAAATTTACTTTATTTCAGCAACATTTGAACCAAAATTTAGCACCATTTCAGAAACATGTTTGAGCAACATTTCACCAAAAATCCAGCAACAATTCAACCAAAATTTTAAAAAAAAAATTTGCAAAATTCCATCAACATTCAGCACAAATTTCAGCAACAAAATCTGCTTTATTTCAGCACCATTTCAACAACATGTTTGAGCAACATTTCACAAAAAAATCCAGTAACAATTCAACCAAAATTTTAGGAAAAAAAATTACAAAATTCCATCAACATTCAGCACAAATTTCAGCAACAAAATCTGCATTATTTCAGCCAAAATTCAGTACCATTTCAACATGTTTAAGCAACATTTCACCAAAAATTTAGCACCATTTCAACTGTATTGTCATTTCAAAACAAAAGAAATACAACTCAAAATACCCCAATGATCAAAGAACGCAACAATATTTTCTACATCCACATGAAAAGTTTTCAATATTACATACACAAACATCATATCCAACAAAAAAAAAAAATCAACGCTAAGATATTGACATGTGATCCACATGCCCATGCCCACGGCCACGGCCACAACCACGACCACGCCCATGCCCACATAGTACCTAAAAAAATAGAAAATACTCTTATATCAAAGGAACCATAAAATAAAATGGAACTTTAAATGAATGAATGAGAAAATAAAAGAGGAAAGGTGAAAAATAAATTACTTGACTACATGCAGGACTATTCGAGGCTTGCGAGTCATAACCGCTTGCATTGTTAAGCAATGCTTGATAGCTTCCATGGACGGAATACATCAATGGCATTGAAAAAGGTATATTGTGACGAAGAAAACTTGGCTGCAACAATAACAAACACATATCAATTTGAAATGGTAATAATCACTTACAAATAAGCGTAATAAAACTTCTTATTAAACTAACTTACATCACAAGTGAGATACATAAATTGAGACAAAGAAGCATTAACTTGAGGAACACTCGTCGAGAATGGAGGAAGTTGAAGAGAACTTATTGAAAATAAAGGAGCCGATTAAGGAATACTCAACGAAAACAAGGGAGGTGATTCAAGAGCACTCGTCGAAAATAAGGGAGGAGGTTGAGGAGCAATAGACATGGGAGTTTGAGAAGCATTATGTGAACTTGTTTTATTTTTCTTTGCTAATGCAAGCTCCAAACCACCTTTTGTCCGCCTTCATCCCTTGCTAGTGCACTCTCTTCTCTTGAGTCCTTTTGCTCAAACTACATTTGTATCCGCTACACCATCCACTTCAAAGCTTTTAGAGCATGTGTCAGGAGGGCTTTCTTGTTCAATAGTATTTGAAAAAGGCATATTGAATTTTGCGCTTAACATGCTTTCAATGTTTGCAATTAATTCAACTGCTTTCTCTACCGTCAAGTTATATGTTTCCTCACTTTCAGAAGCTTTACACGCTATTGCTCTGAACATTGCCATCAATGATCTATAGTGTGAAGTTTGATGCAATCTTGCATCAACCTTAATATCATGCCCACACCTATCTTTCACATTTTCAGCTAATGTTTTTTTAGTCCATCTCTTGAGAATATATTGGGAAAGAATCTCTTTGAATTTGAAGGTGTCTCTAAGGATCTTCAAACAATGACTACACAAAATGCCCTTCATTCCAAACTTCCTACAATTGCAAGTGAGTGAACCATCACACTCTTGCCTTTTTAGGCCATCTCTTGAGAATATATTGGGAAAGAATCTCTTTGAATTTGAGGGTGTCTCTAAGGATCTTCAAACAATGACTACACAAAATGCCCTTCATTTCAAACTTCCTACAATTGCAAGTGAGTGAACCATCACACTCCACTTTCGTCTTCCTCACTTTTACATCATTGCTATCAAGAATAGTATAAACGGTACTCTCACCATCATGTTCAGTTTCTTCAATGTTTACTTCAAGGGACTTGACATACTCATCCTGAAATTCTTCATAAATTATATTTGTGTAAACATCTGCAGCTTAGTCCATAATCTTCACTTTAATATTCACCTTTGGCAACTTTTGGCATAGAGCATATTCGGCTTGTAACTCTTTGTACCTCTTCTCACAAAGAACTCAATCAAAATGTATGAAAAATTGCATTAAGTTATGATCAGACTAAATGAAATCCTTCAAGAATGCATTAAAGGATCATTAAGTTGGGTGCTACTCATGTCCGCACGCCAGGCATTTCTAACATATGGCCAGCCCCATTTTCCTTGATCCCAAATGTTAACTTCAACCAATGATTATCTTGCTCTTCATACTTGTCAAGCATTTCCTTCCATTTTAACATAAACTCATTCTCATCCTCAATGTTGTACATAAATTTGGATAAAACACTCTTCATCCCCTTATCTTTCACCTCCTTATCCTTGAAGGTAGAATTTGCATGCCTTAATGCATTTTGCATCAAATGCCACGTGCAAAGGTGGTGTTTTGTGTTAGGCATGACAGCAAGTATGGCCTTAGCCATCGCAGCATCCTGATCCATAAAAATTGTTTTCGAAGCCTTACTTGACATTGCCTCCAAGAATCTTCTAAAAAGCCATACAAAAGAATCAGTAATCTCATCATACATCAAAGCTGCGCCAAATATAGCAGTTTCCCTATGATGGTTAAATCCAACGAAAAACGCAAATGGTCTATGTGTACTATTTAACTTGAAAGTAGTGTCGAAAGTTACAACATTACCAAATTGCCCATAATCCATGATCATTTGAACATCAGCCTAAAATATGCTTGTAATCTGCTCCTCGCTATCTAATTGGACAGAGTAAAAAAAAGATAGATTCTCCAATGTTTTCTCACGAAAATATTGCAAAATGCTATCTGCCTCCCCATAAGCTAAACTCTTTTGCCTCTTCGTTCTCAAATAATTTTTTCGGTCCAGTTTTGTGAACCCAATCGACTCCCTTTCACCAGCTTCATTACCCATGAGCTCAAATGCAGCATTAAGATGGATTCCAGATTTTTTGGCTAAATCTATTTTGATTGCCTGTGATGCAGATATCTTCCTTTGGGATGGTAACATATGCGTACATTCTGCTGGTACAAAGATATGATTATGTTGTTCAACAAAATCACCAACAAAAAATTTCTAAATATTCCTACCCCACTTAATGATAAGTCGGGCTTGACAACCAGTCCTCACTTCCTGCCTAGGATTTTTTGTTAATGGATCTCGCATGTTGACAACCCGAAACCCCTCCTTATTACAAACAAATAGCCTCGAAGTGATTTGCCCCTCCTTGCTCTTGTTTACCTAACCCCTCCTTATTCCATATCAATGTACCCAGTCACTTAAAAAATAAAAAGTGCTCAATATTAGCATAAAAACTGTAAATTATGTTTGCAAAATAATACAAACTAAATAAAAACACTACAAGAATTGACTCATATTAGATTATATAAACAAAGGGGAACAAATCCCTTCAATAGTAAATTATGTTTTTAATGATCCAAATCCCTTAATTTTCTTATAATCAACATGTGAACATACAAAATCAAAATTAAACAACAAAAACAAACAAAATAAAAAATAAAAAAGCAAACAAAAACAGAAATTAACAACAACCAAAACCCACTTGGCAACAACATTAACAAAATAAAAAATTAGGTATCTCACTATAAATAATAACAATAATAAAGGAATCTCTGAATTCAGAAACAACATAACAACATTGTGCATTGTTCACAAACAAAATATAAAATTAGGTATCTCACTGTAAAATAAAAATAATAATTATAATAAAAAAAGACGTAACAATGAACTTTCTAAGTATTTTGTTTAGAATGCAATGCATATTCTTCAATGACAAACATGTATATTGTTCTTTAATGGCTATAACGCCCCAAATTTCTAGCCCAAATGATAATACAACAAGCATGGCTCTTTCAAGGAAAACTGAATATAAACCTCCAAACTTACATTACATGATACAATAGTTCTTCATGCAACAATACATTAATCCAACAAGAAGTAAATAAACAAATAAATACCCCCAAGGGTTTATAAGTTTCCAAGACTTGAGCCTGGTTATACAAAACGGTTATTCAAACCCACACACATACAACCCTTGGCTTACACACAGAGTCACAGCAAAATGAGAGTCTCGTACTCTCAACACACATTTCCTCGCATTTAGTTAGGCGGCGTCACCACATCTTTTCCTGCACAAAAATGTAGGGTGAGCATAAAGCCCAGTAAGAAATCCTTAACAAAATATATACATTTTATACAAATCTCAAGAGATGAAATGCACATGCCATGCTATGCCCCTTTTTGAAGATAAATCACATTTTTATCTTTTGAAAACCATCATGCTCAACGATGTCATGCAATTTCAATTGTTCAAAACTTAACAATTTATTTCAAGGGCGGTAAATACGACTCTAGTAACCCTTAGGTCGATGTCTACAAGTAGACTATACAAGTACTACCAAATTGTCATTTTTACCGGTATTAACCGGAAGGCTCGACACCTATTCGCGTGGATTTTCGGTTTTTCACCCCGGACTCTCAAGCCAACTTCTTCAATATCATCTACACCGTCTATCAAGACTTACCAACGTATTTACCCCAAAACCATTCCATGAAATCTTGTTTCTCAACATTCTTTTCTCAATACAAGTTTTCAAATCAACTTTCAAAGTTTAATGTAATCAAATGAATTGATATGCCAATTTCACAAGATGAATATAAATACTTTTATTCCAATTTATCATCCAAAGAATAACACAATTCCCTCTTTTCAAGTATCCTCGACAATTAATTATTTCAAGACTATTTCAATGTTTTGAACAATAATTTCCAAAATGAACAACAATTCTCATATTCCCTGAAATTCATCATTTATATAAATATAAATAAGAAATTTTCCAAACATCCATTTATTTTGACACACAAAATAAATATAATAATATCATTCATGGATTTTTAGTTTCCTTTAGAAAAAAATCCCCAAATTCTAGATTTTCTCACCAAAACTATACAACTCAAATCTTTTGAAAGAAAACTTTCCAAAATCATCTTTTCTTCAATCAACGAAGATCAAAACCCATAAGATCATTTTAAAAGAACAAGAAATAAACCCACTTTCAAAATCGCTCAACTTCTTAAATTAACAATCAATTTTCAAAACTATCGAAAGTTGATTTTGAAAATCATATAGATCTTGCAAAAATATATATATAACTCTAAGAAAATCCTTACCTCAAGTTTTGAAGAAGAAATGAGATGAAATACCCAAAATCAACGGTGTCGAAACTCGATCTTCACTGCATACAACGAAACGCTTGAGAAGTTAACCAACTTTGATGAAGAACTTATAGCAGAACTCTAATGGATCTTGAGAAATCAAAGTTTTGATCCAATTTGGCCTAGAGAAATGTAAAGAGAATGGAGAGGAAAGAGTTTTTAGAAAGAGAGAGAGATATAAAAAAGTGATCTGAAATATCAGATTCACGAACTGATATAACATGGTTCGCTCAAGCGTGGGAAGCCCCGCTCGAGCGTCAAATACACTTTCCTAGTACTTTTGCATACAGGTCAAACTCTTGGAACCAAACATTCCCCGCTCAAGCGCATAAACGGCCGCTCGAGCGGACAAACAACTTCTAATGCATTTTGCATTTTTACTTCGAGGGCGTTGCCCTCAACCCCACTAGGGCCAGGGCGCTGCCCTTGGACCCGCCAAGGGGCACTGCCCCTTGTACCCCCGCGAGCTGACCGGGCAGCTCGATCCCCGACATACTCAATGAAATGGAAAAACTGGGATCGCTACAGTGGCCAGATTCTTTGAATGAAAAATATCCACATGTAGTATATGCAGAACAAGCTATTGTAATAGAAGATGAGGGTCCAAACAAGCTATTGTATTTTGTTTAGAAGATGACTGTAAATACCTATATTTTTTCTTTAATCGGTTGGAGCAGGGGCTCGGCGGAGGCAGGACGACGGTGGCGGCTGGATAGCAGAAACGGCAGGGCGACAGCTGGACGGCGGCACTCCCACCTCTCTTCTTCTTCTTCTTCTCTCTCTTGCACTCCCGCCTCCTGCTTCTGCTATACTTACGAGTATATGGAGGGAATTTTGAATTAAAGCTGATTTTTTTTTTATTTTTTCAAATCACTAACCAAAACGACGTCGTTTTGGTTAGTTTTATTTTTAGCCGTTGGATTCTTTCACTTTAGGAGATCACTTCAGGGTTCCACTCTAGAGGATCCTGATATTACATTAATATCATTCGAATAATGTAACTATGTATAATAAGGACAAAAAATGGAGTGTATGTAGAATAAAGTGGAGTGAAAATAACAGCTCCCAGATAGATTATTATAATCATTTCAAGAATTTTGAAGTTTATTGTATTTGCCCAAAAAAACAATTTTCCATAGAAATTTGAAATATATATATTGAGTTTGAGTCTAACAAGATTAGCTTTATTATATTTCTTAAAATTTTATGGTAATTCATTAATCGTGCAAGTATAAATTTATCATCATTTATATATATATATATATTTAAAAAATGATATGTAAGTCCACTTTCTATACCTTATTTTTGAGGGCGTTACACATAATGATGGATAAGTGATATCATTGGTCGAAGATTAATGAAAATATGAAAAAGAGTGTTACTTTTTATGTCCTAATTGATTGTCACATTATTAAATTTAAAAATTGAATCTAATTTTTATCTTAAATAACAATGCTTCTTAATGTATATATATTCATCTGTGTATAATATAATATATGCTATATATACCAATAAAAATCAAGTTCACGGTTGTAGCGATCCCGATTTTGACCTGTCTCTTTGTGGTGTTCCGGGCTCGGGTTGGTTTGGTTTTGAACGGTGTTACGTATCTTAGTTTCCCTTGTATTCCCCTTATTTTTGGTTATCAGGTTATAGTGGTGTGTTTGGAACAGGTAATGTCTCCAAACCTTTAGATGCTAATCCAACTCGAATTGTGCCTTGCAGAGTTGTATTGGAAGTTAATTCTTTCATGTTTTGCCACTTCACTAAGTATGTCGGGGGTCGAGCTACCCGGTCAGCTCGCCGAAACAAAAATGCAAAATGCATTCGAAGTTGCTTGTCAACTCGAGGGGCCGTTTATGCGCTCGAGCGGAGAATGTTTGGTTCCAGAAGTTTGACTTGTCTGCAAAAGTATTGGGAAAGTGTATTTGACGCTTGAGCGGGGCTTTCCACGCTCTAGCGGACCATGTTATATCAGTCCGTAAGGGGAGATTTCAAATCACTTTTTTAGTTCTCTCTCTCTCTCTCTAACTCTTCAAAATTTCCAGATCTAGAGCTTCTCTCTCCAGAAGTCATCTTCTCTCTTTGATTTCTCCAAATTCGTTAGGAGTTAGACCGAAGTTCTTCATCAAAGTTGTGTAACTTCTTGAGGGCTTCGTTATGTGCGGTGGAGATTGAGTTTCGACACCGTAAATTTTGGGGTTCATCTCTATTCTTCTTCAATACTTGAGGTAGGGATTTTCTTAGAGTTATATATATATTTTTGCAAGATCTAGATGATTTCGAAATCATCCTTCGATAGCTTTGAAAATTGATTGTTGATTCAAGAAGTTGAGCGATTTTGAAAGTGTGTTTGTCTCTTGTTCTTTTAAAATGATCTTACTGGTTTTGATCTTCGTTGATTGAAGAAAAGATGATTTTGGAAAGTTTTCTTTCAAAAGATTTGAGTTGTA